ATCGTCTATAAAACAAAGTCATCTATTATTGAGGCTTTTGTTATTCATGATCTGAATAGTGTCAATACTAGTGATTTCACGCGAGACGTTGACGTCCGACATATTCATTAATTACTGAGATTCTCGTCATTCATGATATGTATAATGTCAAAACTAATAATTTGAATTGTTATCAGTCATATAAATTTAAAAAGATAAATTAATTTTTAATATTATTTATATTTTTATTCATAAATATTATAACGTTAGAAAAAAATCAAATTATGATATATAAATATATGATCCAATAATTTAAAATTATATTGTACTAGAAAGAGTTGTTCAACTTATATTTGATATGAATATTGAACGATAAATTTTAAATTTTACACAAAAAAAAAGAAAAATATAAATAAATTATTTAAGTTTTGTCTTAGATTTTATATACAATTAATTATTATAATTTGTATTTTTTAAAATACTTAATTTAAATTAAATATAAAGTTTAAAATAAATTACAAGTTTAAATTAACTGTAAATATAAGACTATACTTTGAACCCAATCATTAAACTAGGAATAATTTGAATTATACGACAAATATCAAGGCATCATATTTAAGAATCAATTATTATTATCTGTTCGTAACAAAGGCTGCCTCGTGACCAAAAAAAAAAAGCACGCGAACATTCTCATTTTACGACGTCGTTTAAAGACCCAACCATCAGGCACTAATGGACCAAAAATTCAACTAGAGCTGAGTTGGAAATTCACATATTTCATTTGGACCCAAAATAAATTAGCCCATCGTGTTGGTAAGTCAAGAGCCCGAACCAAATAAATAAAAAAAAAGAAAAGAAAAGTCAATAATATTGTTATTTAGTAATTTATTGATTTATATATTTAAAATTATAATTTTCAGAAATTTATATTTATTATAAAATATTTAAATAATTTTTTTTTTATTTTAAAAAGTAAAATAGTAATTTGAATTAATAATTATAATGAACAAAATATATATATATATATATTAAATTAAAGAAAGGGTTGACAAATTGACTTTCTTTATTGCGTTTGGTAATACACGTACAAGGTCCCAGTAAGTCATTAATGGCGGGTCTGCGGGTCAAATTAGTACTCTCCACACCGACACACTGGATCTCAATTAATGATTTCCCCCAACTTATCTCTTCTACGGTAACTCCATTTTGGTGCTACCTTAATTAAAAATAAATTAATTTCATTAAATTAAATACATAATTTGTATTATGTATATTACCTAATCAATAAATATATTAACTTAATTAAATTGTGTGTGTATATATATATATATATATATATATATGTATGTATATATGTTATACATGTGGTTTCTTGTACGGGTCAATGATGTTGTTGGACCCGGTCAATTATGACAGAAGACAGGAGGTAGGTAATCCAAACAGGCAATTATTTATTTGATCATTATTATTTATTTTTCAGGCGATAATTTAATTTTAATTAAAATTAATTAATTGTCATTATCTAATGCTATATATTAAATGATGAAGGTAGGTTTTTCTTTGATAATTGATGCTCCGACCGATTCGCATCTAGTCCTGAATCTTGTTTACTTGTACTGAGAGAAGAAGAAGAAGAAGAAGCAAAGAAATGTCTTCGTTAAGCGTTCCTCCATTTCCTACGAATCCAAAAGACGATGCAATCCAACTCTACCGAGCCTTTAAAGGTACTCTCTTCCGTCTCTCTCTCTCTTTTTTTTTTTTTTTTTAAAGAATTTACTTTGATTTTGCTCGTTGATCCAGTGATTATGCGTTTTAAATTATCTAGTTCTATGGTTGTCGTCGCAATTCACTGGTTTATCCTTCTGTGGCTTATTGGATTGAATGTTAATACCTCTGTTTTCCTTTCCAGACAAACTTATTCTAGGTTTCTTAAGTTTGGATGAGTTTTACTGTTAGGTCTTTTCTCGGTGGATTCTTCTGGGGCCGTGTTTGGTTTGGTGGAAGGATTCTAATTGAGTGACTTAGAGATGAAGTGTTCTAAGAGAAAGCCTATTCTAACTCTTAAAGATATGATTTTAGTTTATAAGGAACCATGTTGTCATATGATTTTAACTCCTAGGTAGTAAGACAGGCAGCAAGTCTCTAGACTGGTAATTCTTGGTTGCTAAGTTATAGCATGTGAACCCTTATCAGAAGAGAATTTTTTCCCCTTGAAAAAGTAATCTACTTTTCTCAAAAGGCTATCTTGTTTAAAATGTAATATTGCATTGATTCTGTAGGCTATATGTTTATTTCTATCTTTGTATGTACAGGATTGGGATGTGATACTCCCGTTGTTATCAATATCCTTGCTCATCGAGATGCGACACAACGTGCTCTCATCCAACAAGAGTACAGGCTAATGTATTCTGAAGATCTTCTTAAACGATTGGCTTCAGAGCTTCATGGCAAGTTAGAGGTAAACTTGTAACATTTAAGTATGGTTTCTTTTTCAGCTATTTAGTTTTTATTGATTATCAGACAATCGCATACCATCAAGTAAGATGGGGGTTAAATTTATTTGCTGAAACACAAACACGCAATGTGCTCTTTTTCACTTCTATTTATCGTATATTACTCCATCTATATTGTCAGAGGGCTGTATTGCTTTGGATACTTGATCCAGCAGCACGCGATGCAACAGCTATCAGGCAGGCCTATGTTGCAGCTGATCTCCGAGCTTTAACTGAAATAATATGTTCTCGCACCCCGTCCCAGATTCAGTTAATTAAGCAACATTATCATTCGCAAGTTGGGATTCACCTCGAGGAGGAGATTCAACAACAGACCCCTGATGATCATCAAAAGGTAAACTCTATTCTTTTGCTCTGTAGTCTCTTCGTGATTGAAGTGCGGACTTTCAAGAAGTAATATCCACTGGCATGGTTTCGTGAATTACTCACATCATTAATATTTGGTCCTTTAATTATAATCATAATCATTACGTTATCATCATTGATGATACTTCTGTTTATAGCAAAAGACTAACAAGTAAACATTTTACTTTGCAATTGAAATTTTGTTACTTTATTATCTTAATATAATTATTTTTTTAGGTCAGTGATATCTTAATGCAACATCTTGAATCTTGATCCAGCTCTTGCTTACTTATGTAAGCACAGCACGATATGAAGGTCCAGAAGTTGGCAGAGAGGAGGCAGTAAAAGATGCCAAGGCTCTCTTCAAGGCTGGGGAGAAGAAATGGGGTACTGATGAGAAGACCTTTATACGTATATTTAGTGAACGAAGCAGGGCACATATGGTTGCAGTTGATGCTGCTTATCATGAAATGTATGGAAACTCACTGAAAAAGGTAATTTCAAAGTTTATCCCTTCCCGTTTAGTGGAGGTGAAGGGTAATGAGGAATATAAATGCCTATAGTCAAAGACGAAGTTAACAAGAACGAAAAATTAATATAAATTACTTAGAAGAGAGCTTTCACTGGGGAAAGAAAATTTTGCACCAACAGATTTATTGTTTCTTCTTTGGCTCCTTTCTTATGACGCTTAACCAGATAATTGAAACCATTTCAGGCCGTGAAGAAAGAGACGTCAGGAATGTTTGAGTTTGGTCTGTTGACAATCTTACAGTGTGCACATAATCCTGCCAAGTTCTTTGCCAAGGTTCTTCTCGTCATTCTCAACCTTGAATTGATGTGTTTCTTAACACCATTGCATGTTCAATTGAAAGTAAATCATGACAAGTTGCCTGTCTTAATTTCCTTTTTATCCCGGAATGTGCATGCGAATTCTGAACGAGCATTTTTTTGACAGAGAGATCCATAATCTGCTTGCTTAATAAACTGTCTCAGGAACTTTACAAGGCGATGAAAGGTCTAGGGACGAATGATACCACACTGATAAGGATAATCGTTACAAGAACTGAGATTGATATGCAGTATATTGCAGCTGAATACTTTAAGAAATACAAGGAGACACTCAATGAGGCCGTTCATTCAGAAACCTCAGGCCACTACAGGACTTTCCTTCTCTACCTTCTGGGCGAGAACCATTAATTATTAGTTATAGCCTGAGAGATAATAGGCCTGCCTTAACCTTAATTAGATAATCTACCGCATTTGATTTTGTTCTTATTTAGTTTCTACCTTATTCTTTCGCTTAGTATGTTGATGGGTAAAATTTACATTATAATTTTAACGTATGAACCGCTTTCATTCTTCTATCAAATTCTTTGAGGTGGATTTCGAATTCTCATTTTGTCCCAGTGAGAAATGGAAATTAACCCCAGAAAATTCAAGGTGAGAAGAGGAGTTGTTCAAACATTAAAACTACAATGCAGTTTTACCCATCAACCCAAGAATAAGGTAGGAATTGAATGAAAATTAAAACAAGTAGGGGGGGAAGTGTTGAGAGTCATATAAGTCTGAAATAAAATGGCATTAGCATTTAAGTATTAAGTTTCTTTATGCACTTTTTTTTTTTTCAAATGTATGGCCTCGAGTTGTTTCCCTTTGACTCTTTAAATTCAGTCGGTGATGTATTGTGTGTGATGAATTGAAAATTTTATGTATATATATATATATAGCCCCGAGTTTGTTCTTGCTTGTTCCAAGTTGCTTCTCTATGCACTCTGCTCTATGGCACTATATATATATATATATATATATATATATATATTAAGCTTGTGGAACAGTGACTTACAAATTAAAATTAAAAAGAAACTAATTTTTTTTGGGCTTATAGCTAGTAAAAAGTTTATTTTACTCGTATATTTTGTTTACACCTGCTAAGAATGACAAGAACTCTGTTATATATCTTTTTACACATTTAACTAAATATATTTTTTTACTTATAAATATATATTTAAAAATAATACTTACTATTTGTGTGAGTTAATTTCTTTCTAGCTCACTACATGCATAGTTTTTGAACCCTAAGCTTCTTGAAAACGTGGGAATTAAAACTGCCAAATAAACAGAAAGAAAATGAAGAAGTTTCAAATACCCTGTTAATTATTGTATCTATTCTATATATGATGTATTTGTGTGTCGGCAGGGTAGATGAAATGAATCATAACCATTATTTAACTGAATTATTTATTATTACTATATTATTATTACCATTATTATTTCATCAAAATCATAGACCTTATCATCTGAAATATACAAATCTGAAACTAAAATCGATCAGCAACAACGGATAGTGTTATACATGGACAACCCACATAGTCATGAAAGTGCTTTATATACCTTCATGTGTTACTTACTGCAAATGAAAGTCAAAAGTAGCAGACTTATTAGCTAACTAGAAGAAGTCGATGATGATGATGATGATGATGATGATGCTGGTGGTGGTGGTGATGATGATGGTGACGATGAAGACATGATCTTCCTGAGCAGCTGGAGAAGGGAATGAGTCAGGCAAAGGGCAGGATCAGCTCGTGTGGCAGCCCTAAATGCAGCGTGGACGCCGAGCGCAACCTCAACGCCAACGCCGCCGCCGAGCCTGGCTTGCTCATCCTTGATAGCCTCTTCGCAGAGGCCGCAGACCCAGACGCCACCAAACCTCTCCTGCACCCACCCTATATACCCACTCGTACACTCTTCCCATATCCCACAGCACTCGCACTTTTCCTTCCTCACGTTCTCCATTCATATTTCTCTTCAATCTTCAAGATGAACTTATTGGGTATTTATAAATAAGAGAGATATATATATATATCTTCCAGAGAGTAAGGGAGAAAAAATATCTCTTGGGTTTCTTTTGTTATTTATTTATGTTCAAAAGTTCATAAATTATTGAAATGAATTTATTTTCCTGCTAAGGTAGTGGCCAAAGAAGTATGGGCCAGATATGCACATGTGTTGTGATATATGAAATTCAGTTTCCTTTCCCGAAGGCAAAGTTTTATATATATATAGAAACTATATATAACTAGTCGTTGAAAATTATGACCTAAATGTGAAAATCTTGATTTCAACCTAATTAATATATTTGATTAATTAATTACTCTACATATATTAGTTGTTGAAAAAATAGACTTCGCTTCCAGCCAGTAATTGAAAAGAAAAGAAGAGAAACAAAGGGTAGTGGGTTAATTCATAGTTGCAGAGAGATGACGTGAGACTTTAGATCAGAGCAGATTCAATGGACACCTTGCATGCATTTAATACCTTCGGTCACTTTCTCATCTCATCTTCATGGGCCAATACATATATATATATACACACACACTGCCTTTATTTTCTTCATTCTTTTTGCCTTGAACTTCCTTCTCTGCATCACCTCGACAACTATATATAACCATATATATGTACGCTTAACACATATGTAATATCAGAACTTAAACCATTTTTATTAATCAAACATTTTAATCGTACTCAGAAAAAGAAAGATCAGAGTAATAATTTCATAATAAAACAAAATATATATACATATATATATATATATCAGTATATTGATTGAAGTGCAGTGACTTGAAGCAGACAGAGGTAGTTAGTTCTTTACAAGTTTCCATTACCCAAAATAAATATATTTACATACATATACATATGAGTATATTGACTGAAGTGCAGCGACTTGAAACTCGGAATTCTGTAACAAGTTTCCATACCCATTTAGCCATCACCCATTGATTTTCTCTGTTCTAATTGGGCCGGATCCTTACTTAATTTCGGGACCCGACCCAATTTACCTTCTAATTCATAATCACGCGAATATTTTGTAAGGCCTGGCTGACCCTAAATTCTGGGCCAACTCCTCGATGTTGAATTGAACGTTTAAAAAAAAAAAAAAAAAATTTAATAATTCATAAAATATGAAATTAATTAACTTAAAAATGATTTAATTAATTATAATCATAATTTGGATATAGAAGAATGTTGGGTTAGTCCGACATGCATGATCCAATCATGACATGCAAGATATATATATATATATATATATATAAATGCTAAAATTAAGGTGCAAAATTAATTAAGTCGTATCAAATCAATAGATTTGGAATAATTAAATTAACGCAGCTTCGGAATTGACCATTAGAAAAACTGTGGGGTGGGGGGGCATAATGCTGCCCTTAATTGCAACATCATTTTTAATCACCTTTTAATTTAGAATCAATTAAGGTTGAGACCTTATTAGTGCCACGTGTTTAATTAATTAGTTAAGTGGGTGACAGAATTATTTGCCATTATTGATTTACTGAACCTTTTAAATTTAGAATCAGTCAAGACTGGCATACGCACATACATACATATACATATATATATATATATATATATATGGAGAGAAAGTATTAGTTCAATTCAATGAATGTAATTCAAATAGTTGGTACTCATGTAAAAATATTTCATATATTTATATCACTAGTATATAAATTATAACAATACTAACCTATAAAAATAAAGTAAAACCCAACATTTTTCAAGTCTATTTTTTAGTTTTTATTGAGTACATCTCGTTTAATTGAATAATCAATAAGTTATTTTCGGTATAACACATTGTATATATATATTGATAATATACAAATTATAATAATTTAACCCATAAGAATAAATTAATTATTATATAAGTATAAATTTGTATTATTTAAAATAAAAATCTCAATATTTTTTAAATCAACTTTTTAGTTTTTATTAGGTACATCTCGTTTTTATTATTCAACTGAGTAGTTGGTATTCTATATAAGACATTCACTGTATATTTATAATGATAATATATAAATTACAACAAAGTTAACCCATAAGAGTAGATTAATCATTATGCGAATGTGAATTTTCGTTATTTAAAATAAAAACTCAATATTCTTTAAGTCTACTTTTTGGGTTTTGGTGGATACATCTCGTTTTTATTATTCAACTGAGTAGTTGGTATTCTATATAAAACATTAACTGTATATTTATAGTGATAATATATAAATTACAACAAAATTAACCCATAAGAGTAGATTAATCATTATGCAAATGTGAATTTGCATTATTTAAAGTAAAACCCAATATTCTTTTTAAGTCTACTTTTTGAATTTTGGTGGATACATCTTATATTATTACTTAACTGAGTAATTGATGTTCTATATAAGACATTCACTGTATATTTATAATGATAATATATAAATTACAACAAAGTTAACCCATAAGAGTAGATTAATCACAATACAAATGTGAATTTACATTATTTAATGTAAAACCCAATATTTTTTTAAAGTCTACTTTTTGGGTTTTGGTGAGTACATATCGTATTATTGCTTAATCGAGTAGTTAATGTTCTACATAAGACATTCACTGTATATTTATAGTGATAATATATAAATTACAACAAAGTTAACCCATAAGAGTAGATTAATCATTATGCAAATGTGAATTTTCGTTATTTAAAATAAAAACTCAATATTCTTTTTAAGTCTACTTTTTGGGTTTTAGTGGATACATCTCATATTATTGCTTAACTGAGTAGTTGATGTTCTATATAAGATATTCATTGTATATTTATAGTAATAATATATAAATTACAACAAAATTAACCCATAAGAGTAGATTAATCACAATACAAATGTGAATTTGCATTATTTAAAGTAAAACTCAATATTTTTTTAAAGTCTACTTTTTGGATTTTGGTGGGTACATCTCGTATTATTGCTTAATCGAATAGTTGGTATTCTATATAAGACATTCACTATATATTTATAGTGATAATATATAAATTACAACAAAATTAATCCATAAGAGTAGATTAATCGCAATGCAAATGTGAATTTACATTATTTAAAGTAAAATCCAATATTCTTTTTAAGTTTATTTTTTGGGTTTTGGTGGGTACATCTCAAAACTTTAAAATCACAAATGAAGTATAATTAATATAGTGACACAAAATAGGTGAACAAAAAAGTCAAGCTTTCACACCAATAATTTGTACCCCAATCACCCCCACTAATTAATTAAACAAAGACAATTGCAGAAAGTAGTTGAGAAAAAGAAAAAGAAAAAGAAAAAGAAAACAATCTAATCTAATCTAATTAATTAATTAATTAATTAATAATTAATATAAACCACCCCTAAACCCTAATTCCTTTCTCTTTTTTTTTTTTTCCCTTCTGTTTTTTGCTTCATTCTCAAAATCGATCGCTTCGTCTTGCTAGTGAGCAGTGACTCATATCACTGGTAATGAGCAGCTTTTTAGAAAGAAGAAATATATACACACCATACTTGTCTATGTGTGTGTGTATATATATATATATATGTAGATATATATATATATATATATACACATATTGATTACTATCTTGGTTTTTTCTTTCAAAATATTTTCTCTTTTTAATTCTTTTCCATGTGGGATTTTTTCTTTTAGCTTACCCATGTTCTTGGTTTTGCCAAGTGGGTCTTCCCAAGGTGAACTCCAAGCTTGGATTCTGAATCTCTAAGTGTGATCTTCTATATCCATTTGATACCTGCATCTGTAATATTCAATGATTGTGATCAAATTATATATCTATATGCGTATATATCCGGGGAAGATAAGATAAACAAGTTGGAAAAATATTATCAATATCTTCAGTTCGTCTTAAAACATCCTAAAATCATATAATGAGATGTTTTAATTACTTTTGAAAATCATCTAATAGTTACACAAGTAGACGTAATATATATGTACATGTAACGTTATACATGTATATAAAAGAATATATAATGCAGTCGTTTAAAGTGATACCATAAACGAGTACTTACCTCATGAAATTGGGTTCCAGATGTTGTTTGGGATGACAGATTTTCTGGTCTTGGTCTCTCTAGATTACTTGAGTTGTTAACCCAACTACTTCCTCTACTGCAACAGTTTATTGAAAAAAGAAAGATACATAATATACGTGTTAATTAATTGTACATATATCCACTCCTTAAATTTCTATCAATCTATAATGTATAGTTATATAAGTACGCGGAATGTGTGTGTAGATGCATGCAATACATCTTTTTCAAGCCTAAAAAGTATGGAAATCTTGGTATTAATCTTGATGTGCTTCATTACGATTTCATATTATATACACATCGAGAAATTTAAGAAAACAATGTATTTAAAAAAAAAAAAAAAGAAAGCGCACCAGTCTCATAACTGATATGGGCGTGTGTATGTATATAGTATACGGTATATATATATATATATATATATATATGTATGAATAGACACGAATCTAACCATGACGCTACTTGTTAAATGAACATGAAAGTACAGTGTGACGATCATATACAAGGACTGAACTCTTGACTCTTTAGAGCAAGTGCAATTTCCAACAGGCCATTAATGAATCAGGACCTATCTTATCCATAGTAAATGTCACATGTATGTATTCACCCTTCCCTATAACATTTATAAATGTATTACACGTATCCAGTTTGAAACAATAACCTACCTAGAAGTAGAAAACCCACTAAATATACATATACATATACATATACATTTACAGACATACACACACACACAAACACACAGACAGATACAGTGATGGACTGTTCAACATGCATGCATTGAGATATAGAACCCTAGTTTCATACAATTATTAATTAGATTTATAATGGCATCTCTGAAATATCTACTGCTTCTTTATTTCAAATAAATTTCATATAAATTACTGACCTTTTGACAGAAATTATTTATTATTCACTAATTAGATATTGAACATGAAAGAAGAATCTTCATCATTTCCTTTTTTTTTTAATTTAAAAAAGCAAATAAAAAGTTCGTGAATTTATATCAATTAAAAATTCACTTCATTTATGAAATTTAATTGAAAATACATAGAAGTTTATATATGCAAAATTTAATTGAAAATATATATATGTATATATATGCAAATTTTTCATCTTCATTTATATAAATATATTTGTTACTCTCGATGACTGTTTTATTAACTCTGTATTAATAGAATGTAACTACTTTGGTTATTAGTAGAAAAACATAAATTTATTTCAAAATATTTATTATTTTTGACGTAAAAAGTATTTATCTATTTTTACGCTAGGTAAGAACGAAATTTCTAATTTCTATTTTTACGAAAGTAAAAAAATACTATCTAACTCAAAGTTTATATGTGAACTTCGAGTGTTTTAAGTAGGAGTTAGGTTAATTAAGCATAATTAATTTGATTTATATTGTTAATTAAATATTGATTGAACCTAATCTACAAAGTGAGTTAAATATTGGTTTTCACCTTATAACTAAATATTAATTATGAAATTATGTAAATAAATAGATTTTTGAATAAAGGAGAAAATGTGATTGAGAACAAAGTTTTTTTTTTTTTTGAAGGATTATATTAATGAAATAAAATGGAAGTAAATTATACTCTAAAATCCTTTTTTTTTTCTCACTAATTATAAGAGAATAAATGAAGGAAAATCAGAAGAGAATATTGATAGATTGACTAAATTATTTTTGTTATTAGATACAAGATTATTATTATTATCCTTAATATATACGTATATTAATAATAATTTTACGATAATTTTCTTTCACCTCCAATCGAATCGCCATAAAATATTCCGACCTAACGTCCATAACTATTCCATTAGTCTAGTATGTATTATAACTCAGCTCTCTCGCAAAACAAATCTTATAAAAGATGTTCTTCAAGTGAATAAATTCTTTTTGCTTTTGGAAAAAGAAAAAAAATAAAGATTTAATATATAATAAAATATTTATTATATTTTTGGAAAGTTTGCATCGTCATTATAATAAGAAAAATAATTTTCACAAAACTAAGAGTTAGTCCGATTTCTAATTTATAATTTCTTATTGAAAAATAAAAGTTTGATCAAATATCTAAAATAATTAAGAATTAACATGTTTTTAGTAATAAAAGATAATTTTGACCTCGTATGAAACTAATTAAAACTGTGAAGAGATTAATTAATATACATTTATATATATAATGTATACATGTAGTTTTATAAAATTTATGAGTTTTAAAAAATAAGTTAGAAAAATGTTTTAGTTAGTTTGGTTTAACTTATTTATTTCTAAGGTACAAGTAGGTAAGATTTGTAAGTTCTGAATTCTTATAAATTGGTAAGAATTATATATGTAGTTAGCTAAATACACATTACAAGATAGAAATGTGTGTGTATGTTAGTATATTGTGGTCCTTTGCATTTAGTATGAACTTTAATTTTCAATTATGAGCAAATTTAACTTGTGTGTGTGTGTGTGTATGTATATAAGTATGTGTGTGTTTATGTGAGTCATGTGGACAACCGTTCAAGATGAAGAACATATATGGTACTCTATGGATGTATATAATAGTTTATAAGTAGCATAACTTATATATATATATATATATATATGATATTATGTTAGACATGTAATGACTTACGAGATATATTTTGACGATTGGTTATATTATATTGTATAGATAGATAGGCATCGTACGTTTTACCAATGTCCGAAAGCTAATAATGCAAGGTCTGAAAATAAAGCATAAGAAAAAAAAAAAGCCAAAAGCCAAAAAGCAAAAGCTAGTTCACAAACAAAAGCACTTTTTGAGTTCCATAAAAAGCACGAATTTGGGTTGTAATTTCACAAGCTCAACGTACCTATTTTCATATAAAGAAGATATGTTTTTTTTTTTAAAAGGCATATATTGATAAATGAAGAGTACCTGGAAGAGTTACTCCACAGATTAGGAGAAGCACAGGGGTTATGGTGCTCGGCAGGTGAATTTAGAGTTTCCCTCTGGTTGAGTAAAGAGTTAGAATTAATATTATTGATTTGTTGGAGGGACCTTGTTGATGATGCCAAGAAATCTTCATCTCCAGACCCATCTGTTACATTTCACACCGTCAACCTTCATTCTACCTTAATCAATATTTTAAATCATAAATGAAGCTGGTCAATACATATACGTTTTATCTCTCTCTCTCTCTCTCTCTGTGTATATGTTTGTCCATGTATATATATAATGTATACGGGTATATATCCAAGAAAGGCAATGGGTACACATCATAATGGAAACCCAAATCTTAAACAGTAGTATAATTTATGCAACAAGGAAGGGAGAGAGAGAGAGAGAGAGAGAGAGAGAGAGAGAGAGAGAGAGAGAATCTTGGAAAATTCAAATGTTGGAAGCAGAAAATGGGGAATTAATTAAAGAAAGAAAAGAAAAGAAAAGAGAAGGGCATTATAGAGCAAGTTAAAATGCAAATTAGACCTGAGGAGGGTGCAGCCTTGTCAGTGCTCTTAACAGTTCTATACATCTGCAAGAGAGGCAAAAGTAGACAAAGAAAATGAATAGAAAACAATGAAACCGAGAAGATAAACAAACAAACTGAATAAAGAATTAACACCCAGAAAAGAGAAAGTCTACATGTCAAGGAAACTATAATTGTATATATGTATACAGAGAGAGAGAGAGAGAGAGGAGTAAAAATGGGAGTAGAAGCTAGTAGTCAAAAAAATCAAATCAGGTGTTTCTGTTTCTGGATTTTTCCTGGTTAGTTTATTAACCACGAGGTTGATGTTTGGTAAAGTCAGTAATTGCTTTGTATTATTGAGAAATGATGGCTACTTTTTTCTTTTCTTTTTTTTTTCTTCGCTCTAAAAGTAGACCTTGTCCTTTATCAACCAAAGAACACACTCCACTGTTCATCAATTCATTCACTGCACTCCTCCTTGGATTTTGTGCCTGATTTTTTTACAACAAAGTCTTCTCTCTTCTCATTTCTCGCAAACAATCAAAGATAATTAATAACAAGATTCAGAACTTAATTATCATCACCTGTAAATGGCTTTTCACATGAGCCAGAGTAAGATCTTTCACGTCCATTAGCTCCAGGACTGACTTTGGTGTTGCCCCTGTATATGTATATGTATATATATATATATATGTATATATGATTTCAAGTTCAAATTTTGGACAAACAAAATAAGCTTTTTCCACTATTATTATATAATGAAAAAAAGAAAAAAGAAGCTCACTTTCATGGCCGCCGAGGAGCTCAACAGCATGAACAAAACGAGCGTGAAGGGAGGTTGTCCATCTCATCCGAGGTGCTCTCATGTTCCGCTTACTCTGAAGCTTTGGTATGAATCTCGATCTAATCATGCCATTACTACACATCTCTGCACCACCGAACCCACCTCCGTAGTACTCATACTGCGATCTAACCGTCTCCATTGGTAGCCCGTTGAACTTCGGGGACCTCCCCATTCGATTATAATAACTGGGTAGGGGAGATTTTGAGGCGTAATTAGTACTTGAGCTCAACACGGAAGAAGAAGAAGAAGAAGCATACGACGCCGTTTGGTAAGAGCTAAACCTACGATCCATGTTCTCTCCATGATCGGAAGAAGCAGATGAAAGAGGGAAGCCGCAGTTGTTGTAAACTGGAATCCCTTTAATGGGTTTTAACCCAGAAACATCAAGCCATGAAATCCCATGATTGATTCGACTCATTGATTCACTACTCGAACAGCCACCAAAATTGAAACCCCCGGTGTTCGGTCTTGTTGCTTGATCCCTTCTCCTCCACGGACTTTCAGCCTCAAAAGTTGTGGGGTTGGCTAGAGAGAGCTCTGTGTCAGCTTTAATGGAGCTGTCACTGTGTGATTTTAAACCAGAACTGTCGTCTTCCTTCCGCCATATATCCAAGTCGTTAGGGCCGGTGCAGATTGAGGAAGGAGCACTGTTGGGAGGACTGATGTGCAGAGAAAGATCAGGAATCGGATTCAAAGATGGTTGTTGAATATCAGTACTGAAAACTCCTTTACCAGACATTTCCACACCTTCTTTTCTCCTTTTCTCTTTCTGGGTACGTGGTTTCTGCAACAAAGAAGAAAGGGTTTAGGATATCTTTTCAGTGGATCTTGAATTCCTTTCTACGATGATGTGAGAAAAAGAAAAGAGGAAGGGGGGAGGGGGAAATGAAATTAAACCTAAAGAGATAGTGGTGTAAAGGGGAAGCAGAAGATTTTTCTCATATTGAAGAATTAAACAGACATGGGGAAGAGAGAGGAAGAAGGAGATGTGGTGGTGGTGGGAAGAGAGAAGATATATAGGAAAATGAATTAGAAAGAAAGTGAAAATGAGAGAGGGAATTGGGTGTGGGTGCGTCTGCATTTTGCTTGGTGCTGCCTCGAGAGTATATATAAGAAAACGACAGTTGAACAAATAGCTCCTGTGTCTTTCTCTATCTCTAACTCTCATTTTCTACTCTTAGTCAAATACACTTCAATAATATTATAAAATAAGAAAAAAACAATTTCTAACTCCATAATTAAATCTTCTTCTTCTTCTTTTTTTTTTTTCCTTGTGTTTCTTAAATTAAATGTTTTTAAGCTTTAATAGCAATATAATAATATTCATAATTTATACAACACATCAAAAAAAAAATTAAAATTAATATTTATATATTAATAACGACACAATTAATATTTTAAAAATATAGATATAACGTGTTATTTTACTCGAATTTATACTTATAAGAATTAGAAATACCAACTCATCGAGTAAAAGAATAGTTGATACCCTCTCAAATCTTATTTCTTCAAATGTATTATGTATTTATAAGCATTAATTTATTTCATAATAAATAAATAAAATTTTAAAGGTAAATTTTTAAATATACTAAGTAATATTAAACTAAAAAAATTAAATTTAATAGGTAAAATAAATAAACATAAAATTATCTTCTATAAATAAATAAATACTATATATATGGCACCAAAAATCTTTTTTTTTTTGTTTGAAAAAAAAATCAAACGAATTTTTAACTCAAATTAAAAAAAAATTAATTGATATAGAATGTTTATTTTTTAAAACAATAATAATAATAAATTTTTTAAAACTTACCAAACTTGATCACTACTAACTTTTTAGTTCGACCGAATTAAATATTATAATTCGATTACTGATAGTTTATTATATATTTATAAAACGTAAAATTTTATATTTTTAATTAAATTCGAATTCGTAACATTTATATAAAATATAATGAGTTTTTTTTTTTTATCATGTTATTGGTTCCAAAAATCCCTTTCTTAATTGGACTAGATGACTAATCATTAATTGGGATATGTTCTTCAAGGTTTTGTTTAATTATGTTTAATGCTTCACTAATTCCAGCTGTTTTCACATAATAGATGCTGTCAATTTTACATTGATTATTCATTTTAATTTTGTAAAAGATTAAAAAAAAAATCAATTAATTAAAATTAAACAAAGACTAAATCAATCCTATTACCATATAATATATAGTACTTAAATTAATCAAAGCCTTCGTAACTTAAATGTTGTACCAGTTTATTTATAGTTAATCATAGCGAAAATTAAGATAACTATTTTAAAAATTAATAATTTACTACTTTGATTTCTTAATGAACTTTAAAAATCATTGAATTACAACATAATGTATAGTCTTTTTTAGAATCTCCCTTGATTACCCAAATGTCGATTTTGAGGGTCACATGGAATTTTTCTATATTCGGGTGTACGTCGTATTAGATCAAACTACTGATCTTTTACATAAAAACAAAACAAAACTATAATTATAAACATTAACTGATCACTAATTAATAATTAGTGGCATGCTTTTATTTTTAGTTATAAGATGGTACTCTTTCGGGTTTATATTCATTCTAAAACAATTTAATTAAGTTGCATGCAAATTAGTCTCAAGATTAATAATTAAAAGAAAAACGGAATGAGGACACGTGTAAAGCAAAGGGAGGCTGTGACGGAGGAAGAATGAAACGAGGGGGGTGAGAGGAGGATTTTTCCCATAAAAGAATTAAATGGGTGGGTGTAATAGTTAATTAGAAAAATAGATGGGCCCATTTCAAAGCTGAATGTGGGGAAGACCTCTCTCCTCTAAAGGCTTGTTTGTTTGGTTGCATATGGTTTTATCATCATTATTATTATAATGAAATTATATTTAATAAAATTATGTAATAATATACATATACATATATATATATATATATATATATATACCCAATGTAGGGTAAGGTCCTTATTCCTTTTTTCTTCCTCCCAAATATTCCCTTCTAATCCTCCAACTACTTTGTCTCACATTTTTGTCATCTCACCCTCTCTACATACACATCTTAGTTGATTTCATTGACTTCAACCTCTCACTCTATAATATATATATACATATATATATATATGTGAATTTCAATACCAAAAATGTTCATTTTATTTATATGTCAAAAATATTATAATTAATATGTAAACAGACATTTATTACACTAATTATTTAAACGATTAATTTTGATTATAGGAGAGGTTGTAACCATGATTTATGATTGTTATATTATAACTTATAATTATATATTTTATGTTAAAGATCATTGTAACGTTGTTCGTCTACATTAATTTAATTAGATAATAAGTTTTTTTAATTTTGAATATACTTTTAAAATTTATAGTTATCATTATATTTCGAAGGTAGCATATATATATATATATATTAAAATTTTAGTATAGAGGAGAATTACAAAATAATTCCTATGATTTTAAGAGGGTTTTTTTAAAATTAATTTAAGAAATTTTTTGCGCGGAAATTCATAAATCTTTTGATTGGTTCTCCATTATTGTAAAAACAAATTAAACATAAAAAAAGAAATGACACGTGGCAGAATGAGATTGGAGGAAGCTCACTTCTCAAGAACTAGTTAAACGCATCCAAACAAACACGACCTTAAGTAATCGAGTGCTTGATGATTGAACAAGAAATTTTCTAAATTCAAAAAGTGGGTGATGGGTGAAAAAGCTCTCGCTTTATTTTTTGCATTTTCCTCTTTTTGACTTATATAAGTTTTTTTTTTTTTTTTTTCAATTTAATTTTTTTAGGGTTTAATTTTATATATATATATATATATATATATATAAGGAAGAGCTCGAAAATCCATGCAGGGAAGAAGAGAATAGTTGAGTCGTGTGGTGAGAAATGAAGGCTAAACTGGTTGTGACTGAGCTTTCACATCATTTCTTCTTTCTATTATTCACGTTTCGATGCAGACCTAAAGCCCTTATATACATATATATATATATATATTGTTATTGTTATTTTCGTTTTATATTGTAAGAACCCAGTTTTAAGATTAGAAAAAAAGTTTTGAGTAAATTTAGCAGTTGATTCTTCTAATTCTGTCAAACTTTTGTCGCGAGCCACAAGTATAATATTTAGATGCAATATATAATATACCCCTTTATAAGTTCAAAAGGAGTCAATTGCAGTATGCTTATAATTATTACATAATAATTGTATACCCACATGCCAAAATCTATGGATTGACCTGTAGAAGTACAAAGATTTTGTTTCCGATAAGAAGATGATTTACATTTCTGAATAAGGCATCTCTTAATATACGTCCTTCTGAAAATTGACCTGTGGAATGATGTTGAAGTTGGATCAAGAAAGCCCAATTAAGAAAAGCCTATATACTCACTTATATTGTCTGTATATTTTGATAATTTTCAGGCATTGTTTATTAAATATTCACTGTTTATGTAATGAAATACAACACTCTTGAAGTAAACATTAGGAAAGACTTGGATCATGAAAAGAAAAAGTAAGAGATGATCTAAAATCCGAAGAAAATTCGGGAAATCGTTAATATAGTAAGAAGGGATGAAGGTGAAGAAATGAATGAAGAAATTTCAGACGGAATGAACATTAATCAAATAGGCGATGAAGATGGTATGGTGATGGGAGGAGTCTCATTCAAACTTCTTGATCATCATCAGCTCATTCAACAATTTCTCAATTGCTTCCTCACTGATGCCTCGTCCCTTGGTCTGTTTTTCAAATTAACCACTTTTATTATACACTTCACCACAAGAATCAACATATATATATATATGGCTCTCTGACTCCCATCAATGAAATTCTTGCTACAAATTAACAGCACGAATAAACGAAAAGGAGAACTACTCATTGTCGGAGAGACAGAAAAGAATAAGCAAATAGAAAGTGAAATGGGAGTGTACCTGGAGAGATGGTACAACAGCTACAGCTTCCTCAACGGTTTCAGGGCAAAGGTTTCCAAGAACGGCAAGCTGCAAAACTCAAACCAATACAAATGACAACATGACTCCATCACTTCCCATTTGCACCAACCAGAAATACATGCAAATTCATTTACTCAATGATTTGCAACCCTACCTCGAATTCTGTCAACTTGCATTGACTCAGGACTCTGATCACATGTTAAGTTAGGATCAAAATCTATAATTATCACATGTATAATGCACCTGTTTATGTGTATATTTATGTAATTTGCAGGTAAAAGTGGAAGGATACTCTCGCACTTGCTTTACGGCGTCCTGATTGGTGAAACGGCTAAACCTCTGCACATACTGCAGTGACTTGTCCAATACTCTGAATATGGAAAATCTATGTAAGTTGATGGATGACATTGAATTCATAAACAGATTCTAATTGTGTGAAAATGCATTACTTTTAAACAACTGTAGTGCCATATATATATATACATATATATCTCTATTTAACTTAAAAAAGATATTGTATAGAATGCTAACTGGGGAATTTGATTCATGGCATCTTCAGACATCTGCTTCAGCTGATCACATTTGCGATCAAGTAGTATGGAAACCTCACAATTCATCAGACATTTGGCCTTCAAAAAATCTGAGATAACCCACAAACAATACATCACCTATCACTATTTTGCAGAATGTTACACTGAACTAGAGTTTAGTATATTAACTACGAATCCTTTAACTTTTAATTATTTATTATTTATCTTCATAGAAGGAATGCCCCTTAGCATGGTAAAAGCTCAATTTCCAAGTAAAATTATGAAATGAAAAACAGAATATGCACCATCTTATGGACAGCAAGTTGGCCAAGAATTGAGAAGGAATTCACAAAAAAATATAGTTGAGAATAGAACGACCCATAACTCTGTTGATTGAAGATGTCTGCCTTCATATTAAAAAAAGGCAATAAAGCACCATACATACACTTTCAGAAGAACCAAAAAATAGAGAATACAAAAATTTTTTCGGAAGAGAAAAAATTATTTCCAGCATATTCATTATAAACACATATAGATGGTTTCTTTTTCTTAAAATTTTTAATAAATACCAAAATAAATTATGAATTTATTATTGAATAATAATAGCAAATAATTCACATAACAAGAGTGCATGAATGAGAGATATTCCATCCAGAGCAAAGACTGCGGTGATATGTTACAAAATTCCAAGACATGTTTGGTCAGAGCACTGGAAAGCAAATTAAATATAATTAACTAATAATAACTTTATAATTCACATGTGAATATAAAAAGGAGGCAATTACGAAATAATAATGAGATGCTACAGTAGAATGATACATGAATAGAAGAAGAATAAGAGAGGAGGACCCATTAGGGATTCTAAAAATCCATAACAGCAAAAGTAGGGGCCCTCCATGTCTCTTAGAGAGGAACAATTAAATTCTAGAAAATAAACATTCAAAATTAATTAATTGATTGCTGGTTTATGAGGGGAAAAAAAACCCTCCTATTGGGGGAAAGAAAGAAGTGTGCAGCTTAAAAATGAGAGAGCAAAACAAACCATCCCCGATCTTGAGTTCTGCAGCATTTTCTTCTTCGTCTCTCAGCATTGTAAATCAGCAACAACAATTGCTGTTCAAAATTTGCAAGAAAAAGATCAGATAGGTATGAAAAAGGTGACACTGGACAAAACTCAGCAGATCCATACATTTTGAAAATGTGTTTTCTAATTGCTAAGATCTTATTGGAGACAAGTTAGTACCCACCAGCTAAAATCATATACTCAAAGTTCAAAGTAGCAAAGGGTAGAAAAGTGAGAAACATCTTTAACTGTGGTAGACTAGTTAACCTAAAGTGTTTTGCATGCATTTGACTAATTTTTAAACTAAGAGATGAGCGTGTAGAAGTGACATCCACCCATAAATAAAAAGTCCAAAAATTTACAAGATTTCAGTTCCTTTCCTCAAGCAAAACTCAACTTGATGGCTCCCTAACATCTTCTTTTTTTTTTTTTTTGATGAGTTCTCAAACTCCATTATCATTTACAATTTCCCATCAAGTACAATTATCAGTTTTTCTTTTATACTTCTTCAAATGGAAATCATGAAAATCATGTTATTGCTAACAACAAGTATCAACACCCAAAATCAACAGGGTAATGCTAAAAGCAAACATCCATGATATAAGGTCCCAAATTATTTCTAGTATGCAATAAACTGATAAAGCAAGAATTAAAGCTGACTCATATTTATGAGAAACAGGGAAAGAAAAAAAAAAGAAGAAAACATACATGATTAGTTAATTATTAGGAGAATGAAATCCAGCCAAAGTATAAGGATGTTATTTATGTTCTTATTTTCCACTAATACCCAGAAGCAAGAAAGCTCAAACTTGAAACCCAAGCAGAATGACATTCATTAATTCAAGCCACTACAGAAGCATATTAAAAAATTAAAAAGGAAACAGATAAAGAGGTTATATAATTAAACAGTGAGTCTAAACAGACAAAAAAGGAGAGAGAAATCATATAATAGCAAACAGAAAATGACATTTTTATGATTAGCATAACTCAGTAAAATGGATATATTCTATTATACTCACTAGGAGCAACTACAAAACAGTATCTTGAATAAAATAAGTTGAACCATGACAGAGTAAAAATAAACAATTCATCCATTAGGGTCTACACAATTTCTTCACAAACTACTAACTTCATTTACAATTCAGCAGTTACACTATATCACATCTCAAACGTAGATACTGTATCAGTTCAAATGTCAATGAATGCAAGAAAAAAACAAAAAAGTTGAGCTTACACCGGATTGGATTTTGGTTTGTAAGGATTGGCAGAAGCTGGCTCTTCAAATTTTACTGGGTTTGCAAGTAATTCCCTTGTTCTTCTTTCTCTCCGTTCCTCCCTCGGGCTCTCTTCCTTTCGAGCTCTCTCTGAATTCTGCCTCTGTATCTTACTCTCTCTTTTTCTTATTTTAAAATCGCTCCCTCCTCTGTTTTCCGTTCTTCTTCTTCTTCTTCACTTAGAATTCCCAAATGGGCCCCGCAGGATCTTCCTCTTTTCCAGTTTTTATCGACCGATCAAGGCCTCCTTACGCTCTCTTTCTTCCTCGTTCGATCAACGCCTACGTTTCACTGATCACGTGCTTCCCTCTTTCTTCAAAGTCCTTCCGTTTCTAACTTTCTTCCCCTCTGCTTTCCTAAAGCGACACGCCTTTCTCTTCTTATTGCTACTTGGCTTCCCTTCCGCTGATTTCACCTGCTCTTCCTCGACCAGTCACCATCAACTCTGCCTCTCGTCCCCTCCTTTTTCCTTTTACAGATGAATCACCATTCACCAAAAAACCTAGGGCCCGCCGATCTCACTCTGACCATGCAACCGAATGAAAAGAAGAAACAACGAAAGAAAATCTCAAAGAAACGGTGCCGTCATATGATAACTGGGCTTGGGCTTGGTTCTGGGCCGAGTTTGGTAAAGGCTTGGACTGGTCTTTTTGTTTCGGGTTGGAATAAGTAACGGAGCTGGGTTTGATTTATTTTGGGTCGACCCGATTTCTAGAAATTGGGCTTGTAATTAGCGCTAAAACCTGACACTCTCAGCCCAATTATATATAAGCACATAAACGTTATTACATAAATAACAAAATTTATTTCTTTATTACAAGTAAGATAATTTTTTTTTTTAAAAAATATTAAAATAATTATTATTTGTCTCTCATGATGTCTTTTATTATTGTCTAGATTATTTTAATAAAGTAAATAAATTATAGAAATTATTATTTGTTATTTTTAGTAAAAACTGTTTAAATCGCGGAAAAGAAAAAAAAAAAATTATCATGCCTGGGGCGAATATTCTTTATTCTATTAAAAGAAACCGAATCTCGAAATGGAATATTCGCATATCCTATTATTTCAGTTTTGTTTTCTGTTTCCTGTTCTGTCACCATCTTCCGCTCATTTTGCCCAACTCAGTTCAACTCAGCCGCCAACGGCCATAACCAAAACTTCGTCACTCTGCCAGTAACGTAAGACGTATCCTCAGACATATCAAAGGTGCCTCGTGTAATTCAATTTTATTATTATTTATTTATTTATTTATTTGCTTAATTTAAATTATAAAATAAGAAAATTACAATTCTAACCTTATATTTGTCAAGTAAAAGTCTAATTTGGCTGACTGACCATGATGTAATTTTCTAATTGGAGAGCGTGCAATATTTTACCAATTACTTATATACAATTTAATTACTAAATTTAGCAACAACTTTATTTTAATCATATTATATAATATCCAAATATATAAAATAAGACTATTAGTATAAAAGTTCCCCGTTCTTTACTTCCTACGAAACCATTCAAAATTGTATTCTACAATATAAAATAAGTGAATACGTATATATATATATACATACATACATAATATATACACACACAAGTGTTTTTTCAGCCATTTTACCATAAAATACTGCATCCGAATCTGACTGTTGACCCCACTTCAATACTTTTTTAAACTCACAAAAAAACATAAAAAAATTAAGGGAATATACATATATACATACATAAATATATATGTTATTCACTATAAATATTTTTAATCTAAACTTTAGTTAAAAGTAAAAAAAATAAAAACTGTGGATTTAGTAAAAGTAATTTTTGAAATTTTAAGCTTTAATAATGAATAAAATTATTTTCTAAAACATGCACATTATAATTTTTGTATTTAAATTTATCAAAAATAAATTTTATCTTTAATTTTTGTATGGGAGACACTTTTAAATTTTAACTTTTTAATTATAAAAATATTTTTAAAATTTCAAAACAAAGTTAAAAGCACAGTAAAATATATTTTTATTAAAATATTATATTGTATAATAATTAAAGATAATAAATCCTTATCGGAGTCGGATTTAGCTATTTATAAGGTGACAGTGACAATGATCAGAGCACTCCATCTCCCATCACGGCTTCTTCTCGGATCGTCTTAACGTTCCTGAAGAAGCAGATATACGTATACACACACACACACACACACACAGACGATAACAAAAGTCTCTTTGTTTCCTCTGTTCAGTTTTCCATAGCCATGGCAGCTTCTTGCAAAAACTCCATGGTTACGTCTCTTCTGTTCGCTATTGGTTGTGTCTTCTTCCTGAGTACGTTTACACACGCAGAGCTTCAAAAATTCCTGCATCCACCCAAACCCGATGGCTCCCTCAGTTTTCTGGTAATCGGCGACTGGGGTCGGAGAGGCGAGTATAATCAATCTCAAGTTGCTTTTCAGGTATATTCATCCGTGATTCCCTCTTTTAAATATTCTCTGTTTGGACAGAGAGAAAAAAGAAAATATACGTTTGTGAAATAATTAAACGACGTCGTATATGGTTGTAGATGGGAAGGATGGGGGAGGAACTGGACATCAATTTTATAATTTCTACTGGAGATAATTTCTACGAAAATGGATTGACCAGCGAACACGATGAAGCGTTTGAAGAATCCTTCACTAAAATCTACACTGCAAACAGCTTGCAAAAGCCATGGTACACCGGTAATTTTCTAACCCCTCCAAATTTACCCCATTGGTAAAAAAAATTACCTACCTAACGTCAAATTGTTTTTACTCGATGCAGTTCTGGGTAACCATGATTACAGGGGAGATGCAGAGGCTCAGCTTAAGCCTCTTCTCAGAGAAATCGATACGAGATGGATCTGCTTGAGATCTTTCGTTGTCGACGCCGGTAACTTCTTTTACTAATTTTCGTTAATTGAAGATTGAACTGACAATTTTAATTTTGATTAACTGAAGATTAAACTAACAAAACTCTGTAATTGAAGAACTGGTGGAGATTTTCTTTGTGGACACCACTCCAATGGTGGATTCCTACTTCATAAATTCAGAAGGTCATACTTATGATTGGCGTGGTTTACCCTCCCGCAAGGCTTACATTGCTGCTATGCTCAAGGTACGTATATACATAGTTTCTGTATATATTTATAAATTAAAATTTGTGGGTTTTTAAAATATTTTTGAACCCATATCAGTGATATAATTTGATGACTATATGGGTGTATGCATACGTATAAGTACAGGATGTAGAATCGGCATTGGAGAAATCAAGAGCAAAATGGAAGATAGTGGTTGGTCACCATGCAATCAGAAGTATTGGGCATCACGGTGACACCCAGGAACTAATTAACCAGCTTCTCCCCATCCTCAAGGTAATTAATTAATTGATTAATTTACTTAATTAACCTCTAATCTAATTTTTTTACAATCAAATCGTTATAATCTGAAACGCTAATGATCTTAATCACAAAATCACAGGCCTACGATGTTGACCTGTACATGAATGGTCATGACCATTGTCTGGAACATATCAGCGACACAGAGAGGTAAAATTATCAACACAACTGTAAAAAACTAATTAAGTAAGGAGATTAATATATAAATTTGTGGCAGCCCGATTCAATTTTTAACGAGCGGAGCCGGGTCGAAGTCATGGAGAGGAGACATGAAAGAGACGAACAGAGAAGGGGTGAAGTTGTTCTACGACGGACAAGGTTTCATGTCGGCCGAGTTGACTCAGTCGGATGCAGAAATCGCTTTCTATGATGTTATGGGAACGGTCTTGCACAGATGGAGGGTGTCCAAACAGCTCCATTCATCCATTTAGAAGCTTTTTAAATTTTGCTGCCACCGATATTTATTTTTTATTTTTTTATAATTCGCCTTGCTATTTTGATTGGTGCAAGGAAAGGCTTAAAGTTTCAGACGTACGAGTAGCATTAGATTGAATAATGTATGATTTATATTTCTTTATCTTAGTTTTATAATATGTTTTATTGACATATTTACTCTTTTTGTATGTAAATTAATAAAAAAGTAATTATAACTTTAAAACTATTCTTCAATAATTAAATTTTTTTTTAAAAAAAAATATTACTAACCTATTAAAAAAGCAAAAAAAAAAATTATTTTTTGAATAATATATTTTCCCATTTTATGAACTTAAATTGCTCCATAGTTTTATTATTTAATATATCTAAATTTGTTTTTCAGTAATAGCAAATAAATTTATTTTTATTTCGTTACAAGATATAAATTATATTTACATTATTTTCTCTGAAAATAAATATTATTAGAAACCATCTTATGTAGAATGAGAAATGGAAGGAGCAAGATTATTAAACAAATATTTTGATTTAATGGAAAATTAGATACAAGGTCTCAAATGAAACGGCTTGATTCTTAAAATTCACCATTTCCAGAAGACATTAGAACCGCACTTGTACTTGTCCTTCCCTTCACACTCCAACTCCAAATCATCAGAGATGAACGGAATTTTCTGTATCACACAAGAAAATTTAAACCCATTCAACCAAAAATCCAAAACAAAACCCATCTTAATTCCTCAAATCACTTAACAAGGACACAAAAAACCAGAGATGAATTGCGAGATTCGAACCTTTTGTTTTGCAAGATCTTGGCAGCCGGTGAAGTTTTCAGGGAACTTGCATGTTCCAAACTCAACTGTGTATGCCCTTGCAAAGTTTGCTCCGCTAGTTGCCAGCCTCTTCTTGTCATTCAACTCCTGTATCACAACATACGGGGACGATGGTCATAAAATATGACATGGGTTATATGTATACGCATGTACATACAAATGGGTATTCAATAAAACCTTGTTAGCTTTGCTCCTCTCAAGGTACTCATCAATGATTCCAGCATTAGCAGAAGAGTTTGCAGAAGCAGCAGCCGTGGTGAAAAGGGTGGCTGCCAGATAAATCATTGCAGCTCTTCTTCCTTCACTGGCCTTTGATGAAGATTCTGAAACCTTAACTTGTTGGGCTCTGATCACAGGCATCTTCTTGACACCAGACACGGCTGGGGATGCAATAAGCTTGGAATTGAGCTCAGATGAGGAAGATGCAGAGCCTGAAATGGCATAGTTGCAGGCCAAAACACTGGAGTTCATGGCTGCCATAGATGGTGGCTGCAAGAACTGGGTTTTTGTTGAATTTGTGGGTTGATGGATTATTAGTGGGATTGATAAAAGGAGAGTGATGTGGGAGAGGAAGAAAAAACTAAGAGATAAAGGATTGTGGGTGGAGTGTGGATAAGGTGAGATTGCCTCACTCCTCCTATTGGCAAACTTTGCTTCTAAAATCATGTGGTGATGTTCATTTTGGACCCACCTGCAAAATCTAAACTTGTGCTTCATATCTTTTTGCTCATCTGTTAATTTCACTAAAACTTTTTGCTCATCTGTTGGTTTAAATAATGATAAGTACATATTAATTATAGAACAATCCAAGCATGAATAAAATAGTTTTTTAAAGGAAACACTAAAATTAGTATTTTAATACTTGATTTGGTATATAAGAACACTTTTTAGTTTTTAAATTTACATATGTTAATTTATAAAAATATGTAAAAAAAAAAAATTACATGTTTTTAATTAATTGAAATACAAATAAAATTAAATTCTTTTTTTTTATTTTTATTTTTATTTAGAAGTTGCATAGTTTTTTTTTTTTTTTATAAATCTTGTTGACAAAATATATAAATTACTTGGTTATCAAAAGAATAAGTAAAAATGATTTTGATGTTAGGAAATTTTTCTAAAGCACTTCATGAAAGAACACATGTATAAACATATATTAAATTAAAAATAAAAATTAAAAAATATGTTCATATATTAAATCAAGTTTTAGTTATTCATATGCTTAGAATTAATTCAAATATTTTAATTGACAAAAGAGTACACCTATGAACTACTCTCTTTTTCTTAAACAAAAAAAAAAATCAATTAAGATTTCTGATTTAATTGTAGTTATTTTAATTAAGAGAATTTAATTACTGTATAATATTTTTTCAACTCGAATACATTATGATTCGTTAAAATTAATATTAATTTAATAACAACAACGCCATCAATGTACGGTTAAAAAAACTTAACCAACATGTGATATTTTTTTTATTTAAATACATCGTGACTTACTGAGATTAAACTCAACTTTGTTATCACAGTTTCATTAATATACTAATGACTCGTTAAATTGTGAGTCTAATATTCTTACTGAGATTCAAAATTTCTAGCATTTATACCATATTGGTAGTACTTTTGAACTAGTTATAATTTTAGTTATTTTTTTATTAATTTAATTTAATTTGGCATTTAGTGTGTATATATATAATTTTATTTGAATTGCTTCAATTTAAATGATTAAAGATTTTTAAATCATTTAATTAATTTAGATTATTCACTTTTTACTTAGGAAAATATCAACTACGTGCGCCTCTAATAATAGCTTCTTATTGTCTTCTGAATTAAGATTTTTTCTCTTTTAATTATCGAACATTCCAACTCTCTTCCCCAAATCCAACATTCCAACACAATAAATCCTAAATTGATCTTAAAATTCTGTAATTTGGGCAAATTAAACTAGTATTCTTGAAAATTAAGCCTTATGGATCTAAAAATGGGGAACCATCAGTATATAGAAAGATCCGTTGGTTGAATATATAAATATATATATATATATATATAATTTGTGACTGTGCAAATATTAACTCACATATTATACAATACCCACAAACCACATGAAGGAAATTAGTAGGAAGCTTCCAAATATCCTTAATTCTGATGAACGTGACTGTACGTTACCATTTTCACATTTCAAAGCTCGTGATCCTCTCTTTGGCCGGATGGTATACATATATACGTGCAAACACACATGCACAGATATATCTACAGGTAGAGACTATTGTCACCTTCTCTTTCTTTGGAAACCATTACCAACTACTTGCTCGTTAAAGAGCTTATGGGTGTGTGTTCATAATTTTCCTTTAACTGATCAGTTATAGAATTACTTGTTATGGATTTTTATTTCTTTAATTGATCGCTAGCTACTATAATTAATTGTTAAGGATTCTCCTCTATATATCGAGGGTTTGATTCTTAAGGATTTAGAGATCAAGAGCAAATGGCGATGGTGAACTGTACATGCCTGGTTTCCTGGCTTCTGTGCTTTGTTTCAGTCTCTGCAGAATTTCAGCGATTTGAACAACCTGTCAAACCAGATGGATCACTTAGCTTCTTGGTGGTCGGAGATTGGGGAAGAAAAGGCTCTTTCAATCAAACCAAAGTTGCTCACCAGGTCTGATTATATACATATAAATTCTTTCTGGTTATTTCTAAAAAGAAATGGGTTTTTTTTTTCTTTTAAACTTCTGGTTATAATGTTACAGATGGGACGAGTAGCAGAAGAGTTGAACATAGATTTCGTGGTCTCGACCGGAGACAATTTTTACAATGACGGGCTCGCCAGCATTTCGGATCCTGCATTTGAGGAGTCATTTTCCGACATTTACACAGCAAAAAGTTTAGAAAAGCAATGGTACAGTGGTGAGTAAAGTCTGTAATTTATCATATTATCATTCACTTTTGAATAAGTTTTTTGAAAAATTTGTGTTGGTTCTAGTTCTGGGCAATCATGATTATAGAGGAAACGTCACAGCTCAACTGAGTCAGATCTTACAGAAGAAAGATAATCGATGGCTTTGCCAAAGATCTTTTATTCTTAGTACAGGTGAAACAATCTTACTTATACATTACTTAACTATGTATGCGCACATGAGTGAATACATATATATATATATATATATATCAAAGTTCAGATTGTGGAGTATAGAAGTGACAGGAAACTGGGTTTTGTTTGCTGGAATTGTTAACATTGATTCATAGAAATTGCGGATTTTTTCTTTGTGGATACAACTCCCTTTGTGGACAAGTATTTCAAGAAGCCAAGTCCCCATAAGTATGATTGGAGAGGAGTTCTTCCCAGAAAGCAATATCTGAAAGGGCTTTTAGAGGTACTTCTTATGGATGCTTGTTAAATATTTTTTCTTCTTGAAAAGAGAAGAAAGAAAGCAGCGAGTTAATGAGTGAACAGGATCTTGAATTGGCACTGGGAGAACCAAGTACAAAATGGAAGATTGTTGTAGGACACCATACAGTCAGAAGTATAGGGTATCATGGGGATACTGAGGAGCTTGTAAAAAACCTTCTGCCCATTCTACAGGTCATAATCAGTTTTTCTCACATCATATTGCTACATGCTTTTCCTTTATCATTAATTATATATAACCTTTTGCAGGCGCATGAAGTCAATATGTATTTAAACGGGCACGACCATTGTTTGCAACATATCGAAAGCACAAAAAGGTAAAGAAAAGAATCAACCAGCTATGCCATTCAGAATCTTGAATAAAACTGCTTATAAAATTGTGATCTTGATATGTAGCTCGCTGCAATTTTTCACAAGTGGTGGCGGTTCCAAGGCATGGAAAGGTAAATCACCTTACAGGACATGCGAAGACAACAAGTTCTACTATGATGGACAAGGTTTTATGACTCTGGAACTCACTCGAGCAGAAGCAAAGATTCGATTTTATGATGTTTCTGGCCAAGTTCTGTATAATTTAGATCTATCCAAGAATCAGTACTCTGCCATGTAGAGTTTCTTTGGAAATCACAAAATAATAAAGTTCCATATGAATGTCAGATCAATCCCACCTTCCCCACTATCATTCTGTATCAGAATTTGGCACTATTATAAGATGATCATGATAACTTGATTGTGCAAAAATCTTGAGCTGGATGCATTGAAAACCTGAATTGTTTAATCCAGAGCAACCTTGAGATTTAGGCATAACCAGGAGACTCAACAATCAACTTCCAGCATACTCAACTATCATCAGCAAGAGACCACAATCTGGTAGCAATACTATCTTGATCAAAAACTGTTTTTTTAGCTGTTTGACATTGGTAAACCTGAGGGTATAGAGAGTAATGGAAGATAATTCCACGCCAATTGCATTAAAACATGACCATGAGTTCAAGCATAAGAGACTTAAATTATCTGATGAATCTCACATGGGCGAATCTCAATAGAAAACAGATTTATATACATAGTTGTTGATGTAAGTTACTTGGTATTCTTTTACTTACCTAAGGTACATTCAATTTTACCATTTCAGTTGAGTTAGTTTCGCCTCTACTGCAAAGTTCACTTCAGCAAGAACACAAGTGCAGATAACTCAGTTCATTACAAAATGGTACCTCGAATCCACATAGCTTTCAACATCCCAAAGAAAAGAACCAAAAGTCACAGCCTCTAACACAAGTCGTTTCAAACCACCAAAGGTTATTTTGATTTGCTCATCCTTAGAAGAATCAACAGTACCCTGAGGGGTTATTACAATCTCAGGCCTTCCAAACAATGCCTCCGTGTGCTTCTCAATTATGCTGACTGCCTCTTTTGATCTTATTGTAGCATATCTCTGAAGTGTCTCTCCTCAAATGACATCACATATGTACGTAAACGAGATGGTTTTATTCCATGCCCAAATCCTCCAGCACTGACACCCCCAGACCAGGAGGAGACTTCAGCGTGTGCTGAAACAGCTTGATAGGAGTCCTCAACATCATTAGGTCTCATGCTCTCCCCGACGGCTCGCTCAATAGTACTTTCTCCATCAGATCCATTTGGAAGAATTTTCATTGTCTTCTCAAGCTGAAACCTTTGGTCAACCCGCTTGAGGAAGTATCCATACATCACTGAGGCTGCATAGACCTGTCCTACCCTGAGTTTGCTTATTTGTGCTACTGAGGTTAAATCACCGATTCTGTTTCCCAGAATAAGGGCTAGATGGTTCTGGATCATCTCATAAGCTTCAGGAGAGTGCAGCCGCTCAAGCTTTTCATCTTGGCTAGGCCAGGTGCCAACACGGCCAGATGAGTCTGAAGATGACGGGGCTATGGCAGGAATTAAGGAAACATCAGCTTCCATAAACCTCTGAACAACCAGTGTATACAATATCTCTTCCAAAGCTTTTCTCCGTTCATTAGCTTTCACCTCAGCAATTCTCCTATGGACATCCAAAAAACCCGTTAGATTAAAGTCTTTTTTTAGAGAGATATATAAATTCTTGAGCACCACAAAGAAGCAAATTATCATCGACTAGATATGCAACTAACCTATACAAAACCAGGTCGGTGCCCGAAGCTGAAGGGTCGTCCTTTTGATTCTCAGCATCACGGTCCGTCTGAAGCTGATCAAGTTGCTGCTCGACTGCCGCTGGCACAAGATGCGGATGACTCATCAGGATCTGAGACAAAAACTGCCCTACAGGAGACTCCAGCTGGAGAGGTGCAATGGGAGCAGCTGACCCAGACGAGTCCGCAGATGAAGAAGCTCTAATCGTGACAAATCTTCTACTTCCAAAAGGCATTCTCCTTTGCCTTGATTTTGAGTAATTAATTGCCGAATGATGCTGCAAATGCATCAAGCAACGGAAAAAAAAATGAATCCAGAGTTCCCTTCAATAACTTATCAAATACCAATCTTATATGGAAAGCAGCTATACACCGTCAGTCCCTCAAGTAAATTTATACGTCAGATCACTGGCTTCAGGAGGAAAAAAGAGCAATATACAAGAACAGAAAAAATGTGATTCTCACATATCTTCACTCAAACGAAGATGCACGTTTTAGATACTTCATAAAATTTCCAGCCTTAGATTTTCATGCACAAAACCAAAGCATTCAAAGCCTCACTTCCACCTAGAAAAGTGGATTAGCGAAAAAGGCGAACACTAACGATCATGCAACTTGAGAAGCCTCCATAGTTCGTTATTTGTTTCTATCTACAAAAAGTCTAAAAGCTTCCAAAGACACTATGCAGAATTAATGAAAAACTGAAATAACAATAAGAAGGAAAAGAAGAATTAAGCCACTCCTAAAAGAACCACAAATTGCACAAGTAAAAGCAGATGCAATCGCAGAAAAAACTCAGACATATGATCTGAAAATGACGAAGCCACTGGAGAAATGAAAGACAATAATGAGGTACCTTGATGAAGAGGAAAGATTTGGTAGGAAACCGCACCAAATCAGGTCCATTAGCGGTCAGAAGAGCCGATCTGGCAACAAAAGCGGAGGCTCTGGAGGTTCCAAAAGAGGATCGAACCAGGGTCGCTGTGGCTGCCTCCATATTCAGCTTTGCAAAATAGGAAAAAGAAAGCCAAAAATAAAACCCTAGACAGAGAGAATCGAAGTTGAAGAATTACAGAGAGAAGGAAGGGGTTTATTTGTACAGCGGAAGGGTATAGGTGTCGAGATGAGGATGTGGGTCTGGATGCGTTGGGCAGATCTCGAGGATTCTATGAGTTAACTGGGATGTTTTATATTCATCCACGGATGTCATGATACACGTCGTCTAACATTTGACTAGAAAATTAGCCCCCACGTTTCTACTTATTTACGCTCATACCCTCAACATACTCATATTCATATAATGTATTTCATAATTATTTGTATTATTAAATATAATTCAAGGGGGGGTTAAAAAAGGCATATCGACGGGGTTATTTTAGTAATTTGAGAAGGCAATTAATACACAATTGAAGCAAGCACGAGTTTAATGAGAAGACGGAATAGACTAATCCCCAAGTCTGTTATCTCATCTGGGGCTTCAGACACCTGGGACCCACACGAGTTTGGTCGAATTGGTGGCTGACCGCCATGAAAACAAAACGACACAGTTTCAAATTGGTATTTGGGGCCAAGAGCTTGTCTACGCGTCTAGTTATAAGTGAAGGATGTATTTATCACGTTTCTTAGATATTTTTGTTGAAATTTCTTCACAAATTTATATATTTTTTTAGAAAAATATTACACTGGAATTGCCTATGGGTTCCCAATATCTTATTACTTTCGATACACCCACTTAGAGAAATACTTTAATGAGATTGTATGTATGGAAAATACCATAATCACAACATTAGATCATGTTTTACTTACCCGGTTTGATTCAAATTGGATTTCCATCATCCTGTCATTTGCAGATATAATGAAAATCCCAGTCCTGCAATTGAACCTATCTCATTAACTCATTATACAACACCTCATTTCTTCATTTCTAATGATTTCTTGAATTCTTGAAATCCTGGACCGAGCCAAGTTGAACTTCGTCCTATAAGTCTAAGAGTCTTGTGTCCTTGAGGGAAGCTGCTCTTGAATGTATGAAGCTTTTGTTTCGAGGGAAGGTCATGGATCCAGATGAAAATTAGTGTGCAGCAACGACTGGACATCCATTAGCGACGACACCTTGAAATGTGGCTCCAGACCCAGGTTTGTATAATCAGCAGGGCCATATCTCCCTTCTAAATCAAGCAAGCATGTGAATGCCCCTGCTCCATTTCCACAAACCACCTGTAGAACACAGATCATCTCTAATTTCTGAGCATCATCAAACGTTTAATGAACTAAACAAGAAAAGAAAATATCAGAAACTTGGTTTTTTTTATACTGGCAATGTCTTCTAGTTTTATAACTGATGCATTATAGGTATTTATCCCCATTTCCCAGCCAAGGAACTAGAAGTTCGAGTGACAGGCCAAAGGGAAATAATATAAAGGCCAAAACCATATTTTAATGGAGAATAAGGCTTCAATAATTGATAGGTTAAATACTTTTCTACTGGGACTTATAAGAATTTCTTTAACAGGGAAAATGAAGTATTATTAACGAGCCACCAAGGAGGTGCATCATCCAAATAAAAAAGAAGCTTTACAAGTTCAAACCAAATATCAACCAAGATCCCTGAATCGTCTTTCTAGTTAAGAGGCTGACAATTAAATAGAAACCTCATATCTTGAACAAATGATTTCTGATGCTAACAAAAAGAGACAACACGCCCTAAAACTATCCTGTTGTTCCTTTCTGTTCAAAGAAACCAAATAATAGCCAAAGAGATTATAGAATACTAACTCTAATGCCAATGATGCTCCCACAGCTAGTAAGGTCACACCAACAGACATGCCTACCACCCCACATACTTCTAGCCAACATACTTCTAGCCAGATTAATGTTCATGTCATCAATATCTCTTGAAGGCACGCCAAATCCGCTTTCCACTCTTTCAACAAGCTTTTGATTACTGTTCTCTAGCAACGGTTGCCAAAATCAAGGAATAATACAACTGATCATAGATAATAGAAGAAACCAGAGACTCGTCCACCCTACTTGTAGTGTGACCCACTACAGCCCCCTTTGTCAAAATCAAGGAAACATTCAAATCTTCTAATTGCCACATCTAGCTCTTTTTCTTCTGGAAAAATGATTCTGCAATGGAACATAAAAAGGGATCCTTTTTCCTCCTATCCTCAGTCACTCTAAACAGTCCAAAAGTCAGATCTTTCCTCATTGTCAGATTTGGGAATTGACACCAACCATTTTATGTATCTGCAAGATATTTCCTCTCACCCCACCAGAAAATTTTCCACTGTCAAACTCCAATGACACCTCCACTTCACATAAGACAGTACCACAAGATCCAAGTAGCCCATCCACATTAGAAACCTCCATAAGTTTCTCAACATCAGGGAACACCGTAGCTCCATTCTTCTTATCCACAGAGAGATGCTCACAGACAGCTACTCCACCCCAATCCTCAGAACCTGACCCATGAAGGACCACGAAGGTGATGTTGCCGATAGTAGCTTCTACCATATCAGCCTTGCCACCACATCAGCACAGGGAAAAAGATGAAGAAGAGACTCCCAAAATGTGCTAGTGTCATTATCCACCATCACAACCCCAATATCCCCTACTATTAAACCCGACCTAGTATGAAAAGAAAAAGGAAACTAGCAACTTCCTTACCAAAAACTGGTTGCCCAGTGCTTCTGCTAACGAATCTAACCTCCAGTGGAGCACGCTACCTGCTTGCTCCCCATTGCTATACCATTGTCATGGAACAGTCTCTCACACTCAGATGAAGACGAAGAGTTAGGCAGCTTCTAGTTTTCATCTTCCTTATCATTCAGAATAATGCCCCGTGCTCCTATCTTCCTCATCATTCAAAACGATGCCCCTAAGAGCTAGCTTGGAAGAAGAGGCATGTAAATGGGCATCATGAACCCATTTGCCCTTATTCAAAAAGGAGACCTTGATCATGAGCTTGGTTAAGTAGGTCTAGACTGACCCGACTACAGTCTGCAAGCGACCATGCTTAGGGTTGCCCATCTTATTTTGAATTTCCAATCGTCCTCTATTAAACCATTCAAGAGACAGCAAAGATACCACCAGTCAAAAAGATACCATCACCTGCCTTCTCCTCCTTCACCATCAAACTGATGTCTAATTTGATTACAGCACAGGCAAGAGACAACATTCTCGACGTCGAGCATGCTGGGAGAAGATTTAGTCGCCATGGTTGCCATAATTTCCTTCTTTGTTGGAAGTTGCACCCCTCTCCAACTGTGGATCAACTTCACCTCTGAAGATTTATTACCCCCCGTCATACTACCAGCAAGGACCTGCCGTCACTTCCTCTTTTCCTCACGAGATCGAGACTATAGACTGAATTGACTGCCTAGAGAATTGTCCACCACCCATAAGCTTAGGTTTCTTCAAGAATGGGCATTCTTCATTAATCCCTTGCATTTTTCTTCTCTAGGCCTAGGAATCTACCTCTGTTATTCTACCAGCTTGACGAATATGGGATTATCAGCTCCCCTGAAAACCCTTCTCCATGACTTATGACCTCTAATCCAACAAAAATCAGACAAACACTTAAAGAACATTTGATCTGCTAGTTTAAGAAAACAAAGGAAAACCTTTGTGTGACCCCATTTTCAGTGATTCTAAGACTGTCTTGAATCTCTCTCTAAAACTACTTGAGGATTTCCTCTCAATCACTAGGAACTTCTTGGGAGGATAGATATAGCAGCACTAGGGAGAGAGACATTGAGATGTGATCAAACTTTAACTTCTCACATTGTTATCCCCCATAACAAAAAAAGAAAAACCTAGGTCATAAGGTAATATAAGCTCTATATTATTAGTCCCCACCACTAAAAGAGGAAAGCAAAAGCATTCTTATTCGGATAAAAGCATGCAAGAGAACAAAATATAACTTGTGCCTCTTCAGTTTATCAAGGAAAAGAATGGGGCAAAGGAAAGAGACAACTCACATCATCTTTAAGGCTATCACCAATCATCATCACTTGATTAGGTTGAACCCCCCAAGATGAACATATATGCAGTAAAGGAGCTGGATCTGGTTTATAAGGACGAAACTCCCTGCTCAATGCTGGTGAAAACACTACCTGAACCAATAAGCAATTAGTACATACGACACGAAAAATCGACATGTTAAATATTCACAGAAGAAAATCTGTTGCTGAAGACACTAAGCATATATTGCTTCAAGCTAAGCTTGCATTGTAACTGTAAGGGCAGAATCAGAAAGAGAGACAGCAAATGCTCCAATTACTAAGTGTAGTAACATTTGATGAAGTATATATTATGAGATTCGTGATTCATTATTTCCATTAGTATAGAGAATTGTATGGACAAAAATTAGTGTATTTTCCATGCTGACTGAACAGCATAACTGACATGTAGAGTTAATGGGAAAACATGCTTCAAGTGGTAGACTATTTGTTTGTATGCCCCATATAAAACTTTCAGAAGTTCCATTTCACCCTTAAGAAAGCTTACCCCAAAACGTTCATGAAAAATATCAACCGCTTCCCTGACATTCCGAGTGATTAAACCCCTTCTGGAGAAAAATCACATACACTGTTAACATGCTGACAGAAATAAACATATTAAAACATGGTTTAGTCACTGAATACTAGAAAGAAGCAAAAGATTTTGCAAACTTCAAAATGATGCAGCCAGATAGAGTTTTGAAATTCTTTTTTTAATTTAGGCAAGCAAAAAACATGTATTTTGACAACTATTGATGTCCATTGTTAGCTCTGGTTTAACAGGTTCAAAAACTACACAAGCAGGGGAAAAAAGTCACGCGCTCCCACTATTATAAATAGACAACAGAATGAAAGCAACAGCTTAACATCAACCTATGAGTAGACTACGAGATTTAGCTCTTTATTTTGTGAATATAAGAATTCTACTCCACAAAAGCCTCAATACACCAATCTCTATCCTCAACTAAATAAGACATGAACTTCTAAGAAATAAAGCTGGAAATTGCAACTTCACTCCCAACTTCAAACATATAAAAGGCTGATCGTCTTGCCATACTCTTTTCATTATTGGATTAGAGTAATAAATAGGCTCATATGGTGGTTATAAGTTAGAAAGAGCTGAACAGATTGATGTGGAACAATTGGACAGAAAAAGAAAAGGTCAAAGAGAAATTACCAATTTTCACAATCACCAGAATTAGCAATAAACAATTATAGGGATAGAAACACATGACCATCAAATGATTGGCTAAAATTTATTTTCAATAAGAACGGAACAGCCGGTATAAACTCTAACACCATGTTGGAATACTATAATTTGATGATCAATTGCCAAAAACTTTAAGGTATTAATTATCAATATAAGCAGGAACATATACTATATTAGGAAGGAAGAAAATCCCTTAAATCTTAAGGAAGCTAACCTGATTTTCCTTGAATCAAGAAACCCACAAAGTTCTGCTGCACCTGCACCGTTGTCGATCCAGTAAGCTTAACTCCAGGTTAAAACCCGTAAAAGGATAACAGGCAAACAAGTGAACTACAAATTAAGTTCATGTACATGAAGATTATAACTCTCGCCTTTTGCTTCAATCTCCGAGCAATTACATGACGAGTACTTGATATAATTAATAAAACCCGAAATTACCCAATCCAGTACTTCCTGTTGCTAATAATTACGAGCCCACAAAAAAAGAGAGCACGCAAACTGGTAATGTTACAAACATGATACCGATAAAAAGCTTAGCACAGAAATATCGAAATTCAGTCGAAAGCAACACGAACCGGGCATGATTTGGAGGCGATCAAGCCCTTGGCGCTCAAAATCGGCGATAATCTGGTATGCCTTTTGCTGTTTATCAGGAGCCCAGGCTTCAATGTGGTGCAGAATATCGATTCCAGATGGATTCTCTGATTTAACTCTCCAATACTCTTCTTCCCCGAGGACTGCCTTGTACATTGCGGCAAAGTCAATTACCGGCACGGTTAGGGTCCCGTCCATGTCGAAAACGACGCCTCTTAGGCGCGTTTTGGGGACGGAAGGGATAGATGAGGTGAGGTTCGTCATGGAGAGTGATGATTTTGGAGCCAAAACGAAGAGAAGAGGCCTCCATATAAGTGAGCTCATGGGATCTATATCATTTCTGAAAGAGGAAGAACGATGAGGTCGTCCGGTAAAATCTCTGTGGGCCAAGTGGACTTTGATGAACTGCGGCTCTGCCATCTTTGTACCTTCTGAAATAAAAAATATTCCATTTTTCCTAAATTAAAATATTTGAAGTACTTATATATATGTTTTATATTTTTTTATATATAATAATTACAATGTGAAATATTAAAAATTCAACTACAATATAAGCTTAAAGATAAACATGTGGGAATAATTGTTTGTTATGGCCACAAGTTCAAACTTTGGTGAAAACATAAAGCAACTTGTGAGAATGGCAAGTGTGGCGTACATATTTTAAAGACATATTTTAAACAAGTAGCATTTAATTATGAGTTTGAATTTAAGTAAGAATGTACATTATAACCTATGGTGGTATATATATAATATATTCAAATATTTTATTTTTTATTTTTAATCATTCATTCTTTAATCATATTTTAAAAAATAAATTAAAAATGTCAAAATTAAAAATAAATTCATAAGTGGTTATACAAAATAAAAAGTCTAAGATAATAAGTTGACCTCAATAATCTTGATATATTATCTGTTTAAATTTTATTAACGATGTGTTAAATATATACTATTTTAATATTTATAATTATCTCAAATATTTTTCATTAAAAAAATAATTAAATTATTACTTTTATTTTTTTTTACAAAATATTAGTATAATTTTCAAATTAATATGCCAAGAGAAAATTAAAAACAACTACTATAACAAGAAAGTTGAAAACGTGTAAAAGAAAGTTTAAAATATATAATATATATGGCATTTGTAAATTATAAACTATAATATATATATATAAGACATTTAGTCTAATTATATTTTATATAGCATTATCTTATAAGTTAAGAGTTAACAGTATGTTAACGAACTATAATGGTACTGATCGTTATATTTATAATAATTATATAGTTATAAATATAACTTTGGC